GGTAATGAGTATGCAGTGAGGATATGGTTCTATTTTCTGAACACATATGCTGTATGCAGCTTGCCTCGTAATTCCAGATGTGGAAAGCGATCCAAACATTTCTATAGCATAGCCAGATAAATTGCGCAATCTAAATCAGTAAAGCGAGAACGATCAACCATGACTCAAGGGCGCACGTCCATGTTCCTAAAAATGACATGTGCAAATCGCCGCACTAACCAAAATTTGATTTCGGTCGCTCTAAGCAAAAATAACAAATTGTTATGAACTTCGAACGCTAAGAATGAACCAGTTCTTAAATCAACGAGGAAAGCGACCTCTAAAATAAGGATCTTGTTAGGTTCTCTCTGATATAACTTGGCAACAATTTTTTTTCGGACGTTTAAAGGCTATTTTCCTGAGATTCGGATTAGAAACTCTTTCGTCAACAGTTGTCATCAACTTCCACCAGAGGTTCCGACGTTATTTTTCTCCTTGTCTGTCCCGCTATGCGACATTTTTTATCATTGAGACAAACTTAAGATGTTTTAGAAAATGCATGTACTTTTTAAAATGGACCTCTTTTTCCTTAAGCCCTGGTCAAACGACGCATGATAGTTGAGGATAGTTGTAGCACGTGCTTCCGTTTAACCAACTACCATGCACTGTCGTCGACTATCGTAAACCATCTTTGAGCTTGATCAAATTCTTCATGATAGTCGATGGTAACGTTTCCCGTTTGACCACGCGTATGATAGTGTATGATTATCATGGGCTATCATGCACCGCGTGTAACCACGGCTTTGGTTTGTAAGCCGAGCCTGAGCTCGCGAAATGTTAGTACACGGTATTCACTTTGGCGAGAGAGGAGCTCGAGAGGTCCCTCGCGACGGGAAGATCAGTTACCTTTTAGCTACAGCAGACCTAGTGCTCTGTTAGGTCATTTACTAAGATGTCAAACCACGTCCAATGAATATCTTGTGTCTGAATGACACTAAATGTCACTCGTTAATGAAACGTATATGAGCCTAGCACTGGTCACTGTTAGCGCTTTTAGCCCTTTTCACAGACGACATTTTGGATATAATTCTTTAAACGTAAGGAGTACGATGTCCTTATTTAGAAGTCGCGAGCCTTCCTTTACAAATGAGCTAATTGTTGAAGTGACCCAGACAACGTGATGTTGAAACTCTTGGCAGAGAAACGTTTGGGAAACTTTCATGTCGTTTTATGTAGAGAATGCCAAGGTGATGCTGATGTCTCTCGTTTTCAAGCTCATGTAAGCCAAGCGCAGAACATTTACTGGATAACTTTAATTGCTTTTGTTTTTGAGTACAAAAAGTGTTTGCGAACACAACTTAATAGTGACGGGCGAAGTTAATGAACCATAACGCACTGGTGTTTGCGGTGACGTCATGGAGTTTCTAAATTGTGTGATAAGTTAAATTGGAAAGAAAGAAGATGAGGCACAAGGATTAACGAATTGTAAAGAGCAAGAACAAATCTGCTTGAAAGCGACCGTTGAAAACAAATCAGCGGTTTGTCTCATGGCAGTTAATCCGTAGACTAAAGATATCTCAGAACGATAAACGTTGTTCCGCAAACATCACTCTCTCTCTTCGTCGAGATCGGCTAGGAAAACCTGCAACTTCAGCAAGTCAGTTCTGCCTTCTAGCGTCATACAGAAAACATGACTTAATAAGCCATGCGGCCTTTTCACACTACGTATTTATGATCGAATTTGTCCGTTACTCAAGTGTAAGCACGTAATTGTCTTCTACCGTTTGATGTTTGCCTCCCGTACAACTACAGCGGTCGAAGCTAGCCCTCCCTCTTTTAATAGCTTCAATGCTGCAGTACAATCAAAGTACTTTTTATGAAGATCTTTTAAGCACCGAACAAAGGGCAATTTGCACAGATAAGAACACGGACATGTAAGAAAGATTTTGATTTTGCGCAGGTTGTTTCTCGCCATGTATCAACACAAGTTTAGATCAAAACAATGTACAGAAATTTAGTCAAACTCACCTTAATTGAAAGCTGCTCTTTTGCGTAGCTTGTCAACCTCTAACGATAATTTTAGTCCCAAGCAGTAAATTGTTTAAATGGCTGTGGTAACAATTATTAGAAACCAAGAGAATATCACGTAATTTATTCAAGATCGTAAAATTTATTTGAGCCCGAACAAAGAACTCATTATAGCGAAAAGGAAATCAGAAATAATTGTCACTGTGAGGTTATATTGTTCACGTTCACAGTGAAACAAAGTGCTATTCTTTTTAGCAGATTCGTAGCCTCGGGCTGTTGTGTTTAGCATTCTAACCACGACACCAGTTAGTACAAAGGAAATGTAGATCGCCAAAAGATTCACGAAAACATTGCAATATATATCGTATATATGCTGGTATGAGCATATTTTGTTTGCAAATTTGCGTTATTAGTACATGCTTTAATTGCACCTTAATAGAGAAACAATAACAAGAAACTACCAGTACAGAACGTTTCTTTGCTTTTGTTTTGATATTAGATTTAGTTTTTCTATATAGGACAACCAGAGAGTTATAGCGGGTTGCCGTCACTGATGTATAAATGGGCTTTCTTTTACCCTTCTTTTAATCCCAGCAGTATGAACTCAGAATAAACCATATTTACATAAGTTGTATTGTGAAAAATATTGAAAACTAAACGGTCCTTCTTGTGAGTAGCTTTCATTAAAACAGCTGTACACCTGAGTGTCATCCACCGGTCAACAGTCAACAGTCACGGTATTTTGAGTTATTTTGGCTACATACAAAATTACCTTTTAAATTGAAGGAAACCTGAAAATAATAGTTTGCTTAGGGAAAAAAACACTAAAGAGAGACGATTGTCGCGGATTACAAACGACGAAATTGAAAAATTTAGGGTAAACTTTTCAAGATGCGAAAAACGTGACTGCTTTCTGTGACCCACAGACTTGTAGATTAGAAATAGCTTGTAGAGAATAAAAAGATCAGTACCCGCTTTATTTAGATTGTCATGTATACTAAGTTTCTAAATCAGAGATGATTTAGAACCCATGAGGAATTACGGATGAATTAATCATGATAAACCAAAGGATCAAACGAAATGTCATGCTAGAATGAGTGAAGGAAAAGAAGAATCAATATCATTTGAAAATAAATCAATCAATCAATAAAAAATCGATAAATTATTGTTAAAATTCGCTAGACGTGCTTTAACACTACTCGATTTAACAGTGTTTCAATCTTTTCCCGAGAACTATAAAATTGAAGCGTCAGGAATAGAATGAACATTTATGGCCAGAAAATTTTTATATCAGTTCTTGTGGTGATAGAAACTGTTATTTTTGATAATGGGTTTGTTTGAACAATAAGTAAAACTTCACTAATGTACGCAATGTTTTTAGCAGCTGCCAAATTAAGTTGTTGTTTTGGATATTTCTTTTCTTTTCTTTGTTTGTTTGTTTGTTTGTTTTGTTTTGTTTTTTTTTCATTGTATATTTAGCAACTGCAACATACGGTTTTTACAATTTTAGTTGTTGAACACAATGCTAAGTGAATCTTAAATTTGGTCATCGATCGTTCATGACGTTGCAAATTCTTTTAAACTGAATAGTCATTTAAATTATAGTACTCGTAAGGTTCTAGAAAGGCACTCGAAACGCGCCAATTGGGCTGCATTCTTTGATGTACTTACTCCACTAAATTAATCTGGTAGGAGTCTTTCATTGATTAAAGGTTGTTTTTAACTCTTTTGTTCAAATGCATGGTGCTTGTTGTGTATTATATTTTATGAAGTGATATTTGCAATCTAATGCCTAAAAAAGGCAGCGTTCCAAACTGATGCCACTGCTTTATTAGCTTAAAAAAGAGACGAAAATTCCACCTCTGATAAATACGATTTTTATAGGTGTTGGATGCATGCAGAACTAAATATCTCTGATTATGAGGAAAGAGAACCCTCAAATTCGGGAATTTAACCTATGTGCTTTTATCCTTCACAGGTCATAATCTATATTTATCTCAAGTCTTCATTTTGCGCCAACTCCTCCCCACCTCTAACAAGAAAGACAAGTCAGCTACGAAAATGGGCTTTGTACTTCGTGTTCGTCGCCCTTGGGCAAACAGCTCTTACAGCCTTCGCTGAATTTTGCCTTTCATTTCTTTTTTCGCCGTGCTTCTATCAGGAAACAGAGCAGTGATACACTCGGTTACCTATGTCAGCCATTGCAGCCATTTTTCCGCTACTAAGGTGACAACTATTCAAATGCATGGCGATTTTAAGAAGTTATTTCACGGTTGATAACTTTTACAACGCAGGAATCATTAAGCTGCAGGAAGAATTTATCTCAGTGAATCAAGATCAGCAATTTATGATATCCAATAGAGACGTAACCGGTGTAACAAAACAGACATGGTTTGTTTTGTAACCTAACATTTTTTTGCCAATGTCTTTTGTTAGTTGAAATAGCCAATTACAATGAGAAGAGCACGAGACAGATTCGCGGTTATTAACGATTAAAATAACTCGCCCTGACTCCCAAGATACATGTTTACACTTTTAGGAAGTGTGACGCACCTTTTGTGGTCTTTCCAAGAACGGTCTTGCATTAGATCCTACATTTGATTCTCACCAAACAAGCGCCACTGGTAATACTTGGGAGTTAAATGGGTGTTTGTGAACTCAAGCACGCACCAACGTGCTTAGGTTGCAGCCAGAAAGTCTGAGTGATTTTGCTATTAACCAAGTCTGAGTGACGCCACTGCACCCTATCCATGCGCTATTGAAAGGATCAGATCTCCAGTTCTGGATCATTCGTTCAAGTTGTTTTTTTTTTTCAGTCTTTGATGCGTTTTCCGGAGAGGAAGTTTGAAACTTTGGAAGAAATCATGTGAGCTTCATTCAAGCACGTATGCAACGTCGTGACAACTTTGTAAAGGAAGATGTTAATTAAGAAGCCCTTGACTGAAGCCACGATTTGGGCAACATTTACATCATTTACATAACGCGAAGTAACCGCAAAGACACACAAGATGTTCCCAACAAAGTAAAAAGGCAACGAAACTTTGTTTAGCCAAGATAATCGTTGGTCTTTTGTGTTGGGGTAGTGGCTGCTGCATTTTCGTGTATTTTCAGACAGTTTTATCCATATCACACTATCAACAGCTTAATTAAAACTTTGATTATGATTAATGTGTCCTCATCTGTACATCAGTATTTCCTACAAAGACTAAATAAACCCATAACGTATCTCTTGGTAATTGAGATTTATCACGCAAATTCCAAATAGCCTGAACCAACCTCTCACAATCGCTGAGCATGGGCGGGGTAGGTTAGGCTTATTTACCAGATGTTTAATTTGAAGAAGTTAAATATGCAATATAGCGAGACATTTATTCTTTTGGCAGAGCTAAGAACTCCCAGAACAGAAATACAAGTCATTATTGTTTTCTGGATCGACGCGTAACTATTTTTTAAAAAAATGGATTGTTGTAAACCGATCGGTTAAATTATTATACATCACCTCATGAGTTGTAAATCAAATGTCTCCTACCTTAAGTTGATTTCTCAGAGGGAATATCAAGCAATTATTGTCAACTTCTAAAGCTTCCTTGCTCCTCCAGAGATTGCCTTGGGTCCAAAACAATCAGTCGTGCAGTAAACAGCGCACACGACGTCCTAGAAATCTGAATGCTGACGGAACGATGAGCGACAGCGATAGGTAACAACAAAGATTGCGACAACGATAATAACGTTAGTGACTAGAGCGACAACACCTGAGGACGATGACGACTGAATTTGATGACAGAACGACGACCATAAAGTAAGATGATGGTCAGAACAACGGCGATTACGATAAATGACGGTGCCGATGATTACCACTCGTCTTAATTCTTAAGTGGACGTGAATATCGAAGGATAAGGTTAATATCCTCAGCTCTCCACAAGCAATGATGTAAATGACTGTTGTGCTTAAAAGGGTAAAGTCTACATACGAGCCAAGTGGCCCATCAAGCCGGAGCTTATCCCGGTTACTGTAGCATGAATCGACCAGGAATCTTTCTACTCTCCCCTGGATGGGATGCTACTCCATCGCAGGGTTACTCCCAGCATTAAATTGGCCGGTACCCATTTGTACACCTGGGTATAGAGAGAGGCACTGTGAGAATAAAGTGTCTTGCCCAAGAGCACAACACAATGTCGCCGAACGACTCGAACACGGACTGCTCGATCCGGAGTCGAGCTTGATAATCATGAGGCCACCGGGGCTCCAAGACTGCCAAGCATATACCACATTTTTGAAAAGCCACGGAAAGAAGAGGACTTGGTTTCTGATGTCAAGAAGAGTAAAGGTTGTCAATGAGCATGATTTTGAAGAGTGAATAGGGTAGGGTACCTCACGCTTAACAACAAATCGTGCACACTGTCTGGACTGGCTATACTACCTTATACCTACACCAACCAAATCCGGAATTCTGGCAAATGCAAAATATTTTGAACAATGAACGTTTTGATGATGATTAACTAAAAAAATGCTCTTACTTTTATGATTTGCTTAGGATTAAGATGATTAATTAGATAAAATGCAAGATTACCTGTTTCACCTCTAATCTGGCGGGTGTGTACAGCGTCTGATAAATAAAGCAATCGACGGCAAGTTTCAAGACCCAATTATAAGAAGCTCCCGATATTGCAATTGACAGGTTCAATTGGTCTTCTTTACTTGAATCGAATCGAACTACGATCAATCAATCTTCTTTTCGCCTACAATGTAAGCTCAGTGGATATAAAACTACAATAGTTACTTAAAATAAAAAGCAAGTCCTTTTTATAGGAGCTAATCCTATTTTTAGTATTTTCACAAGGCAAGTGTGATGATCAACGACATTTTACGCAGCAGAAACCAAAAATGAAACTAAATCATCGTGGCAGTCTTACTTGAACTCTGATGATAAAATACTCAGTACAATTCGTAAGAAAGATCGCAAAGGTTTTACAGTTAAATACTAAGTTTAATTACTTTATACTTGTCAAAATTCAAAAGGCACATTTAATGAAGATAAATCGGTCTGACTAATACAAAATCCAGTTTTAATTGATGATTTTATTAGAAATTCTGGGTCAGCATCTAACTTATCACAGCCCGTCAATATCACCAAGAAAGCACTCGATTACAAAATTCAAGTTCTTAGCAATTCTGTTGCGGAAAAGTTATTCGAAGCTAAATATTCCCACGGAAGCCATTTCGAGCGACGAATGTCATTGTGTCGATGCCCTTTGGGCATATGTTGGAAGCCACAAAAGCGCAGCCAGGTATAAATCACGCAAAATAAAACTAGCGGAACCCTGACTCCTTCAGACAGCAAGGTTATTGCTTCAAATTAATATCGATATCAAGAGAGATACCATCTACCATGCATGGCAAACGCATCAAAAACAGTGTTCAGTGGCTCATAATAGAAAGCCGTCGGGTTGCTGCCTTGAAGGCGAAAGTGTAACAGCGGTGTATCGGGATGAAGCGAGGGTAAGGTGAGGGCGTACTGAAGGAATACAACAGGCATGGCAGGGGTGTAGTGAGGGTGTGTTCATGGCCACGCAATGAAAACAATGTAAATTTTTTCGTTGATTATATGGATTTTAAAGCACGTTTGTTAATTTAGAAAAGCTAAGGACAGCTTTTTTTGTTTTTCGTTGGCATCAGGGGGTTCAAGTATCTTTACCGAACAGTCTTCATCTAGTAATGTTAGAGAATAAATCTCTCTTGTTACTCGTTGCATACGTTACGTAACTTTTAATCGACTCCGGTTAAGCATTCAGCCAAACCAAATTTCGATGACGCATATGGCTTATAGAGATTTGTTGAGTCATTAGCGTTTGGAAAGCGCCTTCAAGTGCGTAATGACCTAAGGTAGCTAGGACTTGCGTAATTCCAAACCTCCTTCGTCTGAGACTGATCATACTATTCAATGAGACTCCTAAGCTAAAAGAAGTTGATTTCCTGAAGGTAATATCCTTATCGATTCTCCGGCTTCTTTTGTGAAAAACCGGAACAAATAACTCAACTCTTCAAGGTACTTGTGCCCCGAGGCATGACTCTGGCCGAGGAGACCCTTTGGTTTGTGACTATGCAGTACTTATTTTAGCACAACGATAAAATACGTACCTTCTTTACACTCGCGAACACAACCAAGTTAACAACTGAACAAAGCTTTCAGTCGTTGGCGCCCTCGTTGGCCAAAGGGGTTTTCTTTGATGACTAAACTGTACTAAACCTTTATCGGTAATTGCCGTGGGCCGACAGTTTCTGAGCCTAAAGTTGCGAGATTGTGGTCGAGTTACGTGGTTAGAATTTAATTACAACGTCATTGTTTTTAATAATTCACGTGATGTTCTTAATCCAGTGGAATGAAAACAACGTTTTTCCAATGATGCTCTCCTCGGGAAGATTTCCATACATTTGTAAAGGAGAGTATATCACTTCATTTCTGGGTGAACAGTTAACGCTCAAAAGGTCAACTAGCTTTATCGATATCTATAGTATTATTTTAATAATACTGTCGGTAAAGATAAAACATTCAAGGTAACTTAAGAACGTTCGCGCCCATTCACGGTTTCTGCGCATCCTTACTGCGCACATAATTCATGTCCCAACGTCACACACGTCGTACATCATGCGCGTGCGCTAAGCAACAACGGAATATAAGCAAGCGTAGGGCTTGGTACCGGTTGTGTTTAATTCACCTGCAGTTTACTCTCTTAAATGGTTGGTGAGCCCCTCTTTTCTTTTCATAAATCACTTCCTTCACTGATTTTCTCTATTATAACAAGAAGTTCCGAATATTTTGCTTTTTCTTCTCTTGTGTGACCGAAGTTTTCTTTGAATGTGGACCGGCAAGACTAAAGTATTCTTTGTCAAGGCCTATTCCACCTGAAAGAACGACATCAGCTGCAGACGTTTACTTAATAAACTTAGTTTAGTTGAGTACATTTACATCAGTGATGTAAATGTGACTAAAGCAGCTCCCTCTATTGCAGATAGTTGTAAGCTAAGATCGTTTTAAGACGGAAAAAGCTTCTTAAAACCAATGGTCTTCAGTGCGCCTTCTCTCTAAAACGAGTACGGTATTTTGGCCGCGAACGTCCTTAAGTACACACCGTGATTTGATTCAGTTTTGTTACACAACAACACACCAATTATATTTGTTGCCAGTCACATAAGGCGCACACTACTATGGGACAAATTACGGCGATCAGCCAACCATGTAGGCCACTAAGCGAAGCTACATCTTGAAATAACTTTACGGGCTCTAAAACGAATACGCTGTAACGCTTTAACATCAACTGAATGTGACTTTTTTTTGTTGTTGTTTTGTCTTTTTGTATCAGTACTGATAGGTTAGGGCTAACAGCAACACCTCTATCACAAGGTTTTAAGAGTTGCTGCGTATCCCTTTCAACAGGTCAGGTGTTCAGGAGTGTGGCAAGGTAATAATCCTGGCGTCAAGCATGTGAATATTTCTGTCCAAGGATATTGAACTAAGGCAGGGTTCGCCTTTACGACCTTCACTCAGAAAACGTTCGTCTGCTAACTGACGAACGGCTGTGGCGGAAAATGGATCACTGCCCACGGTAAACTTGCCTGTGAACGCTGACGTATTTATGGCTGTCAAGCGGCACCATCTTAGAGCAAGTCAGATCGTTTAAGTTTCTCGGAGTTTATATAAGTGACGCTCTGACGTGGGCGGTGCACTGCGACGGGCAACCGACGTCTCCGCGCTCTTACGTCACTAAAGCGTAGCGGTGCTCCTTCTTCTGACATAGTCACAGTATACTGCTCACTTTTGAGGCCAATTCTAGAATATGCTGGTGCAGTCTTCGCAAACTAGCGACAGTACCTTTCTGCCACCATCGAAAGGGTCCAAAGGCGTGCCCTTTGTATTACATTCCCAGGCTTACATTATAGTGAGGCGCTTCGCATGGCTAACATACAATCGCTGCAGGAAAGAAGAGTTTCCGCGTGTCGCAAGTTTAATTGTACCTTGACTTCAGTGAATCCTGTCTATAAACTCCTTAAATGTCTCACGCCTGATGTGCAGACCAATCACCCATTGAGACCTAGGAATTTAACTGTCCGCGCCAGAGCCACCAATAGGTTCGGTGACTTCATCACAAACAAGTATACGACGGTTGTGACACTATAGCTTGATATCCGTGACTTTCGCATTTTCATATTTGCATGGAAGTATAGTTATTAGTATTATTTACTGCTGGCCAAACCTGTAATCCTGTACCTATGTACTGCAAGAGTTTGAATAAACATATTATTATGTCGTTTGTCTGCGCCGAAAATAAGGCCGGAAATACTCTGTGTTCGCAGGCTATCGGTAACCTTCCTAGTCATATAGCATCTGAAGAGCCAGTGATTCAGTAAGAGAGGTTGCTAAGCGACATAACGCATTTTTCTGGCCACGTGCTGATGACAAGCAAGAGCTTTTTTCTTTGGACAACAGAACTCGTAAACTACTCGCATGTCTCCAGGATTATGTGTCAGGAACAGGAACTCTCTTTTTCTATGACTAACTCCATTTTCACATGTGTTAAAACCGCACCCTAGACAATATCCATGCTATCAAAAATATATTCAGTTTTATATTTCACAGAACTTACTAAACATTAGCGTCTACTATTCTGTCTCCATATGTGACAGCACAGAGTCTACTTGGGTTTCGTAAGTCGAAAATAGAGCGAATCCCAACTGGCGACCCTTGGAAGGCTAACCGGTTGGCTTTTTATAAAGCTTTAAAGATTTGATCCGAGAGTCGAAACACAAATTCATCTTGTCCTTTGCAGATTCAGCACCATAACTATGAGGCCACGCAGCCTCGACGTTTATGCAAGAAAACTGACCATAAGCCCCAAAAACGTTCCTATCAATAAAATGAAGGATAAATTTCTCGTTATAAGAGGCTAAGCATTGTGCTTAATAAAGCCCTTCCAATTTGCTACGCTTCAGTGCAGTCGAACCTGTATATAAGTAACACCCTTAGGTTACGTAAAGTCTGCATACGAGCCAAGCCGGAACTTATTCCGGTTTCAGTAGCATGAAGCGACTAGGACTATTTCTGCTCCCCCGTGGATGAGATGCTAGTCCATCGCAAGGTTACCCCCCAGCATTAAATTCGCCAGTACCCATTTATACACCTGGGTGGAGAGAGGCACCGTTAGAGTAAAGCGTCTTGCCCAAGAACAAAGCACAATGGCTCGATCGAACCCGGACCGCACGCTCCGGAGTCGAGCGCACTGATCATGAGGCCACCCCTCCTCCTTTATGCAAGAAAACTGACCATAAGCCCCCAAAAACGTTCGAACCAGTCAAATGAAGGAAAAATTCTCTTTACACGAGGTTTAGCATTGTGCTTCATAAAGCCCTTCCAATTTGCTGCGCTTCAGTGCAGTCGAACCTTTGGTTAAGTTCCACCCTCAGTTTCACCAAAAACACTACCTGGCGTGGTCGAATGTCATTTTCGTCAACGTGTATTATTACAGCATACACGAGCGACCCACCCAAGTCAACAGTAACACAATCAAGGGACCTCTACCTTTAACAAACGAAGATTTTACTTTTGTAACTGTATGTGGATGTAAGAACACTCGAACTCGTAAATGGGAGATCTCAATATCGTGCGTGGTTCAGTGAATTCTTGCACGGCAATAACTTTATAGCTTGCACAATCAACGTACGTATTTAGAAAACAAACGTTCGTGTAGCAATTCTCAATGAAATAATGGGTAAAAACACACAGACCTTCTACACTGATCCGTGATTTTGAACGCCAAATATTAAAGATAGCGTTCATGGCCATTCGACCTCTTGGCGCCTAAACGTTTTGCTTGAAGAATAAGGTAATTAAATGACAAAAGAACTTTTCAAGCCGATAAAATCGTAAAATGATATGTGGTGTTAGGTTTTCGTTCAAGTGTGATCGCTGATTTCAGGTAAAGGTAACAAAGCTGTGCAAGCGGGACTGCTAATGGGTGGCCGCCAATGCCTAAAAGAGGTGACAGCTTTTATACAAGTGGCAAATACAGCGTAAGGGCGGAAATTCGGAAATATGCAAACTGGACACTTGATAGGAGGTGCAGGTCTCTTAATATATGGTCGTTATATAAAGTTTTAACTGTTTAACTGAGTTGGGGAAACTAAGGCATTAAAATAATGTCCTTCACAAAGTCCTATTGTGAATTGAAATGTTATCCTTTGACGAGGACCTAAAATAAACTAAATAAATGGAAATTGTGTCTACTCATAAAGCCGTGCACTCTGCACGAGATTCAACCGAAAAGTTTTAAATTCTTTGTCTCTACTATGTATCATTACAACATTAAAAAACTGTTGACTTAAGACACAGTGCTTCTAATCGATCAGTTATCACCTTGCCTATGTGAAAAAGAGTTTCTTGTCAACGCTTCTCGTGCTATTCAGTCGTTTTCCACCTCAGCCTCTTGCTGTTCCTCTGCAGAGCCACTTTCATTTACGCAAATATTCCGAAGCCATTTTTTAATAAAACGGATCACCCAGTTAACTAGAATTGAAGCTATTTGACCAGTTCCAGGGAAAGAACGCTCGACGATCATTCTAACAGCTGCTGGACATACCTCATTTAGAATCATTATTAAAAGCTCATTAGCAGATGGCTCGTCCAGGTCAAGAGTAGGGGCAACTTGCCTATTCCCCGGCGTATTTGGTTCTGGCTCTCTGTTTGGAGGTGCACTCGTCTCTGCCATGGAAATGCTTCTAGTAACTGGTCGGCGGTCACCTTCACTCTCGATATTATCATCGGCATTGCCACGATCACGATGGTAGAGTTCGAATCCCTGGAAACTTCTTCGTTGTTCTTGCCTTTGAAGTTGATTTCTTCCCCGTTGCTCACCTGATGGCAGGCTTCTTCTTGACAAAAGATTTCTGGATACTTCTTGATCTGACGATGAAATGCAGTTAAAGCGAGTAATGTTTGCAATAAGAAACGCGGGTCTCGCTCTGCTGTTTAAACGTTTGAACGTTGTAATCCAAAAAGCATACAACCAGTTGTGGATACCTGCTAGTCTTGGCTCACTCAAGTCTCCAGTAGCTACAAATGGCACAAAAGAGAGCACTTCGTCCGGTACCCCGACTTCTTTAACGACGTTTTGAATCTTCTTCTTGAACATTCGATAGCGTTTGTCAAAGAAATCTTGTTCATTCATGTCTTTTTTGCTGAATGGGGGATGAACTCTGTTGGCAAACGTCAGAGCGACAACGGCGTGCTCCCAGAGGCGCGAACCGAAAGCTTCTGTCAGTTTCTGGATCGTGTTGATGTCGTCGTTGCGAAAACGTTCAGTGTCCATTTCGGTGCAGAAAATAAACACATCAAAGGCAGTAACTTTCTCCTTGATTTCTTGCAGATGCGCTTCGTCTTTGCGTGGTCCTTCTGCCAAACCTGGAGTATCGAACACCGTAATGTCCACGTTGTTAATTGTAAAGTCGTAAGATGTCACCTTTGAAAAGAAATTATTTTCTTTATATTTCTAAGATTTTCTTTTGTTTTATAAATATTAGGTTAGTTACATTTTATCGCAGGTCCACACCAGCCCTAAGGTTGTCATATTCAGACCAGCCTTATCAAAAAGTATATGTATGTATATATGTTTGTGCGGCCTGTCTATTAAGGGGGGAGGGGTAGCCATTAACTGAGAATAGTCACCCCTAGTGAAATCGTCATGTGATTACGCTTCCTTACGTCTCCACTATTATATATTGCAATGGTCCCATAAGAGCCCTCGTTCCAGGAAGCACTTCTTCCTCCTTGTTCAGTTAGACGTCTCAAAGTCGAAGATAGTTTAGTAACGGCAGGAGAGGGTGGAGGGTAACAGAGTTTATCCCACATATAGAGCTCAAGTTATTTTTAGACTGCAGTTTTTATGGCCAGTAGTCCTCACAACCGNCCTTGAAGGCGAAAGTGTAACAGCGGTGTATCGGGATGAAGCGAGGGTAAGGTGAGGGCGTACTGAAGGAATACAACAGGCATGGCAGGGGTGTAGTGAGGGTGTGTTCATGGCCACGCAATGAAAACAATGTAAATTTTTTCGTTGATTATATGGATTTTAAAGCACGTTTGTTAATTTAGAAAAGCTAAGGACAGCTTTTTTTGTTTTTCGTTGGCATCAGGGGGTTCAAGTATCTTTACCGAACAGTCTTCATCTAGTAATGTTAGAGAATAAATCTCTCTTGTTACTCGTTGCATACGTTACGTAACTTTTAATCGACTCCGGTTAAGCATTCAGCCAAACCAAATTTCGATGACGCATATGGCTTATAGAGATTTGTTGAGTCATTAGCGTTTGGAAAGCGCCTTCAAGTGCGTAATGACCTAAGGTAGCTAGGACTTGCGTAATTCCAAACCTCCTTCGTCTGAGACTGATCATACTATTCAATGAGACTCCTAAGCTAAAAGAAGTTGATTTCCTGAAGGTAATATCCTTATCGATTCTCCGGCTTCTTTTGTGAAAAACCGGAACAAATAACTCAACTCTTCAAGGTACTTGTGCCCCGAGGCATGACTCTGGCCGAGGAGACCCTTTGGTTTGTGACTATGCAGTACTTATTTTAGCACAACGATAAAATACGTACCTTCTTTACACTCGCGAACACAACCAAGTTAACAACTGAACAAAGCTTTCAGTCGTTGGCGCCCTCGTTGGCCAAAGGGGTTTTCTTTGATGACTAAACTGTACTAAACCTTTATCGGTAATTGCCGTGGGCCGACAGTTTCTGAGCCTAAAGTTGCGAGATTGTGGTCGAGTTACGTGGTTAGAATTTAATTACAACGTCATTGTTTTTAATAATTCACGTGATGTTCTTAATCCAGTGGAATGAAAACAACGTTTTTCCAATGATGCTCTCCTCGGGAAGATTTCCATACATTTGTAAAGGAGAGTATATCACTTCATTTCTGGGTGAACAGTTAACGCTCAAAAGGTCAACTAGCTTTATCGATATCTATAGTATTATTTTAATAATACTGTCGGTAAAGATAAAACATTCAAGGTAACTTAAGAACGTTCGCGCCCATTCACGGTTTCTGCGCATCCTTACTGCGCACATAATTCATGTCCCAACGTCACACACGTCGTACATCATGCGCGTGCGCTAAGCAACAACGGAATATAAGCAAGCGTAGGGCTTGGTACCGGTTGTGTTTAATTCACCTGCAGTTTACTCTCTTAAATGGTTGGTGAGCCCCTCTTTTCTTTTCATAAATCACTTCCTTCACTGATTTTCTCTATTATAACAAGAAGTTCCGAATATTTTGCTTTTTCTTCTCTTGTGTGACCGAAGTTTTCTTTGAATGTGGACCGGCAAGACTAAAGTATTCTTTGTCAAGGCCTATTCCACCTGAAAGAACGACATCAGCTGCAGACGTTTACTTAATAAACTTAGTTTAGTTGAGTACATTTACATCAGTGATGTAAATGTGACTAAAGCAGCTCCCTCTATTGCAGATAGTTGTAAGCTAAGATCGTTTTAAGACGGAAAAAGCTTCTTAAAACCAATGGTCTTCAGTGCGCCTTCTCTCTAAAACGAGTACGGTATTTTGGCCGCGAACGTCCTTAAGTACACACCGTGATTTGATTCAGTTTTGTTACACAACAACACACCAATTATATTTGTTGCCAGTCACATAAGGCGCACACTACTATGGGACAAATTACGGCGATCAGCCAACCATGTAGGCCACTAAGCGAAGCTACATCTTGAAATAACTTTACGGGCTCTAAAACGAATACGCTGTAACGCTTTAACATCAACTGAATGTGACTTTTTTTTGTTGTTGTTTTGTCTTTTTGTATCAGTACTGATAGGTTAGGGCTAACAGCAACACCTCTATCACAAGGTTTTAAGAGTTGCTGCGTATCCCTTTCAACAGGTCAGGTGTTCAGGAGTGTGGCAAGGTAATAATCCTGGCGTCAAGCATGTGAATATTTCTGTCCAAGGATATTGAACTAAGGCAGGGTTCGCCTTTACGACCTTCACTCAGAAAACGTTCGTCTGCTAACTGACGAACGGCTGTGGCGGAAAATGGATCACTGCCCACGGTAAACTTGCCTGTGAACGCTGACGTATTTATGGCTGTCAAGCGGCACCATCTTAGAGCAAGTCAGATCGTTTAAGTTTCTCGGAGTTTATATAAGTGACGCTCTGACGTGGGCGGTGCACTGCGACGGGCAACCGACGTCTCCGCGCTCTTACGTCACTAAAGCGTAGCGGTGCTCCTTCTTCTGACATAGTCACAGTATACTGCTCACTTTTGAGGCCAATTCTAGAATATGCTGGTGCAGTCTTCGCAAACTAGCGACAGTACCTTTCTGCCACCATCGAAAGGGTCCAAAGGCGTGCCCTTTGTATTACATTCCCAGGCTTACATTATAGTGAGGCGCTTCGCATGGCTAACATACAATCGCTGCAGGAAAGAAGAGTTTCCGCGTGTCGCAAGTTTAATTGTACCTTGACTTCAGTGAATCCTGTCTATAAACTCCTTAAATGTCTCACGCCTGATGTGCAGACCAATCACCCATTGAGACCTAGGAATTTAACTGTCCGCGCCAGAGCCACCAATAGGTTCGGTGACTTCATCACAAACAAGTATACGACGGTTGTGACACTATAGCTTGATATCCGTGACTTTCGCATTTTCATATTTGCATGGAAGTATAGTTATTAGTATTATTTACTGCTGGCCAAACCTGTAATCCTGTACCTATGTACTGCAAGAGTTTGAATAAACATATTATTATGTCGTTTGTCTGCGCCGAAAATAAGGCCGGAAATACTCTGTGTTCGCAGGCTATCGGTAACCTTCCTAGTCATATAGCATCTGAAGAGCCAGTGATTCAGTAAGAGAGGTTGCTAAGCGACATAACGCATTTTTCTGGCCACGTGCTGATGACAAGCAAGAGCTTTTTTCTTTGGACAACAGAACTCGTAAACTACTCGCATGTCTCCAGGATTATGTGTCAGGAACAGGAACTCTCTTTTTCTATGACTAACTCCATTTTCACATGTGTTAAAACCGCACCCTAGACAATATCCATGCTATCAAAAATATATTCAGTTTTATATTTCACAGAACTTACTAAACATTAGCGTCTACTATTCTGTCTCCATATGTGACAGCACAGAGTCTACTTGGGTTTCGTAAGTCGAAAATAGAGCGAATCCCAACTGGCGACCCTTGGAAGGCTAACCGGTTGGCTTTTTATAAAGCTTTAAAGATTTGATCCGAGAGTCGAAACACAAATTCATCTTGTCCTTTGCAGATTCAGCACCATAACTATGAGGCCACGCAGCCTCGACGTTTATGCAAGAAAACTGACCATAAGCCCCAAAAACGTTCCTATCAATAAAATGAAGGATAAATTTCTCGTTATAAGAGGCTAAGCATTGTGCTTAATAAAGCCCTTCCAATTTGCTACGCTTCAGTGCAGTCGAACCTGTATATAAGTAACACCCTTAGGTTACGTAAAGTCTGCATACGAGCCAAGCCGGAACTTATTCCGGTTTCAGTAGCATGAAGCGACTAGGACTATTTCTGCTCCCCCGTGGATGAGATGCTAGTCCATCGCAAGGTTACCCCCCAGCATTAAATTCGCCAGTACCCATTTATACACCTGGGTGGAGAGAGGCACCGTTAGAGTAAAGCGTCTTGCCCAAGAACAAAGCACAATGGCTCGATCGAACCCGGACCGCACGCTCCGGAGTCGAGCGCACTGATCATGAGGCCACCCCTCCTCCTTTATGCAAGAAAACTGACCATAAGCCCCCAAAAACGTTCGAACCAGTAAAATGAAGGAAAAATTCTCTTTACACGAGGTTTAGCATTATGCTTAATAAAGCCCTTCCAATTTGCTGCGCTTCAGTGCAGTCGAACCTTTGGTTAAGTTCCACCCTCAGTTTCACCAAAAACACTACCTGGCGTGGTCGAATGTCATTTTCGTCAACGTGTATTATTACAGCATACACGAGCGACCCACCCAAGTCAACAGTAACACAATCAAGGGACCTCTACCTTTAACAAACGAAGATTTTACTTTTGTAACTGTATGTGGATGTAAGAACACTCGAACTCGTAAATGGGAGATCTCAATATCGTGCGTGGTTCAGTGAATTCTTGCACGGCAATAACTTTATAGCTTGCACAATCAACGTACGTATTTAGAAAACAAACGTTCGTGTAGCAATTCTCAATGAAATAATGGGTAAAAACACACAGACCTTCTACACTGATCCGTGATTTTGAACGCCAAATATTAAAGATAGCGTTCATGGCCATTCGACCTCTTGGCGCCTAAACGTTTTGCTTGAAGAATAAGGTAATTAAATGACAAAAGAACTTTTCAAGCCGATAAAATCGTAAAATGATATGTGGTGTTAGGTTTTCGTTCAAGTGTGATCGCTGATTTCAGGTAAAGGTAACAAAGCTGTGCAAGCGGGACTGCTAATGGGTGGCCGCCAATGCCTAAAAGAGGTGACAGCTTTTATACAAGTGGCAAATACAGCGTAAGGGCGGAAATTCGGAAATATGCAAACTGGACACTTGATAGGAGGTGCAGGTCTCTTAATATATGGTCGTTATATAAAGTTTTAACTGTTTAACTGAGTTGGGGAAACTAAGGCATTAAAATAATGTCCTTCACAAAGTCCTATTGTGAATTGAAATGTTATCCTTTGACGAGGACCTAAAATAAACTAAATAAATGGAAATTGTGTCTACTCATAAAGCCGTGCACTCTGCACGAGATTCAACCGAAAAGTTTTAAATTCTTTGTCTCTACTATGTATCATTACAACATTAAAAAACTGTTGACTTAAGACACAGTGCTTCTAATCGATCAGTTATCACCTTGCCTATGTGAAAAAGAGTTTCTTGTCAACGCTTCTCGTGCTATTCAGTCGTTTTCCACCTCAGCCTCTTGCTGTTCCTCTGCAGAGCCACTTTCATTTACGCAAATATTCCGAAGCCATTTTTTAATAAAACGGATCACCCAGTTAACTAGAATTGAAGCTATTTGACCAGTTCCAGGGAAAGAACGCTCGACGATCATTCTAACAGCTGCTGGACATACCTCATTTAGAATCATTATTAAAAGCTCATTAGCAGATGGCTCGTCCAGGTCAAGAGTAGGGGCAACTTGCCTATTCCCCGGCGTATTTGGTTCTGGCTCTCTGTTTGGAGGTGCACTCGTCTCTGCCATGGAAATGCTTCTAGTAACTGGTCGGCGGTCACCTTCACTCTCGATATTATCATCGGCATTGCCACGATCACGATGGTAGAGTTCGAATCCCTGGAAACTTCTTCGTTGTTCTTGCCTTTGAAGTTGATTTCTTCCCCGTTGCTCACCTGATGGCAGGCTTCTTCTTGACAAAAGATTTCTGGATACTTCTTGATCTGACGATGAAATGCAGTTAAAGCGAGTAATGTTTGCAATAAGAAACGCGGGTCTCGCTCTGCTGTTTAAACGTTTGAACGTTGTAATCCAAAAAGCATACAACCAGTTGTGGATACCTGCTAGTCTTGGCTCACTCAAGTCTCCAGTAGCTACAAATGGCACAAAAGAGAGCACTTCGTCCGGTACCCCGACTTCTTTAACGACGTTTTGAATCTTCTTCTTGAACATTCGATAGCGTTTGTCAAAGAAATCTTGTTCATTCATGTCTTTTTTGCTGAATGGGGGATGAACTCTGTTGGCAAACGTCAGAGCGACAACGGCGTGCTCCCAGAGGCGCGAACCGAAAGCTTCTGTCAGTTTCTGGATCGTGTTGATGTCGTCGTTGCGAAAACGTTCAGTGTCCATTTCGGTGCAGAAAATAAACACATCAAAGGCAGTAACTTTCTCCTTGATTTCTTGCAGATGCGCTTCGTCTTTGCGTGGTCCTTCTGCCAAACCTGGAGTATCGAACACCGTAATGTCCACGTTGTTAATTGTAAAGTCGTAAGATGTCACCTTTGAAAAGAAATTATTTTCTTTATATTTCTAAGATTTTCTTTTGTTTTATAAATATTAGGTTAGTTACATTTTATCGCAGGTCCACACCAGCCCTAAGGTTGTCATATTCAGACCAGCCTTATCAAAAAGTATATGTATGTATATATGTTTGTGCGGCCTGTCTATTAAGGGGGGAGGGGTAGCCATTAACTGAGAATAGTCACCCCTAGTGAAATCGTCATGTGATTACGCTTCCTTACGTCTCCACTATTATATATTGCAATGGTCCCATAAGAGCCCTCGTTCCAGGAAGCACTTCTTCCTCCTTGTTCAGTTAGACGTCTCAAAGTCGAAGATAGTTTAGTAACGGCAGGAGAGGGTGGAGGGTAACAGAGTTTATCCCACATATAGAGCTCAAGTTATTTTTAGACTGCAGTTTTTATGGCCAGTAGTCCTCACAACCGTGCGAGTCTCCTCTAATTATTAACAAAGAAAGTAATTTCTCAGTAGTAAGCGAAGAGCTTGGCCTGGCCTTGTCATTCCACTGAAATAGAACCTGCACTGAGATTTTTGTCAAACTTTGCCTATTGATTGTTTATATTATACAAGAACTTAAGAGGCTGTCTCTGTAAGAACCGACCACTGATTTTACTTCGAAAATTCGATTTTTCTCATAAGCTGGAATTTCAAAGCCCTTACCTAGTCAATCACTAAAATGAGTTTTATTTCATTAAAAATTCCAATTGAAGTTTTCTAGGATTGATTGAAG